AAAATTATCTTTCATAAAAAAATAATTACTTCTGTAATTAAACTCTGTAAGTTCTATTATGTGATCTGGCACATCTAAACTTTTTAATTTCTTTTCAATCATTTCCCATGTTAATGGAGAGATAAATCTCAATGGTTTCAACACAGGTAAAGACACGGTTTCAACAGAGAAGTTATTGTTAAATAAATAAATTTTAAAAATTTTAATAAAGTTTCAGTTTAAAAACACAACTTGTTAAACAATTTTTATAACGTCAATTAATCAATCAATTTATTGATTCAATTAGAAAAAATATATACAAAGGGAGTGGTTACACTACTCTCAGAAACTTAGTCTCAAGGAGGGATGCCTCCGAGAGGCCTTTTGTGGGAAACTAGCCTCTCTGTAGATGTTATACACTCGCAAAAAACTTCATAATTATTTTATTATATTTGTTAATTATATTTAAGTATATATATTTATCAACTCAGTTTTTTTGTTATTGGTCTGCGATTTGAAAAAATTGTAATCTATAAATTTCCACTCTCGTCCGTTTGTCTGTCCTTCGCTAATCTTGAGAACGGTGTTAGCAAGTCCAGATATGGAAAGCTTAGGCTACTACTACTAGTTGAAAGAAGGGGCTGCCTCCTGGTTCCACTCAAAGGTACGGCCTGGAGGTTGAAAAGATGGTGAAAGAAGAGGAAGAGAGAAGAAGGCAAGTGATAAAAAGGATGGCAGGGTGATGATAGGATCATAGGGCGCCTGCATCGGTAGTTTATTAAATACAATGGAAAGCTTAGGGCAGGAAACTCGATTAAATATATTGAAATCACGTGACTTCCGGTCGCAACCGGAAAGTCACGTGATTTCAATTCAAAAATTTCCCCCTGAACGAGATTACATATATGACCGGTATGACTCTGTTGTTATGAGGAAAAGCATAATGTACAAGGGCAAAGACAACACTAATTTGAGATCGAGAAAAAATATTTTAAATTAAATAAATTAGGAATATGATTAAAAATTGCAGCCCGGCATTGTGACGATATCACAATACCTTTTGTTCGTTTGTAATTTAATCCTTTGTTACAAGCGGAGGAGGAAATCAATTGTCTTGCGAATTTCCTTTTGTATGAGAAATAAATAAATAATAGTTATATATTAATAATAGCTAAGAATTATTGGACATATTATATAATACGAAACTAGTATTACATAATTCTGAACTTAATCACAAAGTAAGATTTACCTTACTTTGTGATTAATTTGTGTAAGATCAGAATAAATAAACAAGTAAAACGGCAAAGCCGTATTTGGGACAAGACTATATCTCGGAGACTCACTACTAAACGGGATCACTTCGATGCTCATGGCGGGTCTCGTTCTCATTCTCCAATCTTCTTTGGGTATCGCTGGTTTTGAACGGGATCGTTCAAACTTCGTCGGCCACGGTCACGACCGCGATGTCATCACCACGATACATTTTCCATGAAATTAACCTCGATATATATATATTTCTTTACTCTGCGAATTTAACCTATAGCATATTAACCTATCCTATGTCGAGATTTCTCTCCGTTGCATGTCGCTCCGGGTTGAATTGTTGTCGATGCCTATCAAAAATTTCCCGTTCTTGAAAAAATAACGGTGGCTTGTATCCTTTGAAAATATTTTTTTATTTTGTACAAACAATATATATATATTAATAAATGTAAAAAGAAAAAAACATTATATTTTGGAAGTTAGCTTTAATATAAAATTATAATGACACGCTATCTAGTTTCAAAAACGTTCCGATGATGAAACGAGATACCTCCGGTCAAGCGGTCAAGGTTAGAACGTGGCGACCAGAGATAACACGAGACAGGTAAATGGTTTTTTTTTCAAAGATACGATTTGTCAAAATTCGATTTCACAACGTTCGCATTTCCCAAAGAGCAACGCATGCGCAAATCTCGTACTACTGCCTGTTTGTAGAGAGTATCGCCATTTTGTATTTTATTTTGACTCACTTCTCGGTCCCCTGTGTATCTACAAGTCTGGTTTTTTTATGCGCGCATGATTTGGGCACTTAATACTCTGTGCCAAACTGCAACTCCTAACATGTAATCCTTCATACCTCTAAGCTGGTTAGCCAGCCGGCAGTACGATTTCATAAACAAGACATAGTCTTGTCAATAATACATCCACACATAACGTGTTTTCCACATGTATTAATTGTAAGCAATTTGCGGTACATAAAAAAAATCGGATAAAACAACAAAATGAAATTTTCATTTGCGAAATTAAAAATTAACAACTTTCAAAACGTATTTCAAATGATTTATTAATAAAATTTGCTTTTCTACAAATCCTGGTTATTTGTTATTTATATATAAATATATCATACAAACTTTGGTAAAATACATTNATTTATAAATAAAAATATCCCATCTTTTTACAATTTTTTTCCTCTTTGTGCATAGTCAGAACAGCTAAGTTTGAAATATTAGTGTCACTACTAATTAACGATCTTGCTAATATTAATGGAGGAATTTTTTATCGTTAATAGATACAGAATTAAATTAAGAATAATATTCATTAAACATTGTTATTTCAATATTCAAAAATATCTAATAATTTCGACATGTTAAATGAAAATTTACACTTGTGTAAATTCATATAATGATTAATATTATGGATAAGTTTTATAATACATAGAACTTACTCTGTTCCAGTTGAAATGATTATGATATACATTTGACAAAATATAATTCTGTTCTCAGTACGTAATAATTTATTGATATTTCCGGTGTTCTATATATTTGAAATTATATAATACCGAATTCATTTGTCATGTCGGAACTTAATTTACAAATTTTAGAATTCACTTTATAGAAATCTTTCACAATAATAAAGTTTATAGTTGGAAATTGTAATCAGTAAATAATTCAATGATTAAACAATTAACCAATCTGAGATGTAGAATATTTAGTTTAATTATGCTACAGGGAATTTCTTAAGATATTTTATAACAGATAAAACATATTTCTAATGTTTTATAGCATTAATTAGAACTAATTCGATTTAAATAATACTAACAAATTTAAATAATATATGTACTTAGAAGGCTAATAAATTTAAATTTAAGTTTGCCATTGCTAAATGCAATTTTTATTTGGATCATTCTGCAGTTTACATTATAAATTCCAATTTATTTATTTTATAATAATTTTTGTATAAATTCTTTTTAAATTTCAATTATTAGTGATGAAGTTTTCCAGAATGTCAGATTATTTATAAATATTTAAATGATTGGTCCTAGTTTATTTGCCTAATTGAAAAAATTATTTTCTTTGAGTATAAAAATTAGTGTGCTTATATAATATACTATACTACATTTTAAACATTCTAAACTTAAATTCTACATTAATTACAGTATTTTTTTTATTAAAGTCTAGAAACATTTTTTACTTTACATTTTAAATGTCTGTTTTATGTAACAAGCGCCGCAAATATCGATTTAAATGAAAACTACTTGTTAGAGAAAATCGTTTCATATAATTACATAGAAATGTTAATCAATTTGTATTTATTATATTTATATAGATTATCAACATGTAGTTTTAAGTTAAAACTATCCGTTAATTTGAGCATTGTATAATTCAGTAAAGTTATGATAATTCCTGTGATTTTATCAGTTTATAATAGTAATTTTAAAAATTTCCGTTAATAGTTACTTACAACTTGGAATGTATAGTAGGCTACCTATTAAATATACAGTAGAACCTCGATTATCCGGACCTCCATTATCCGGATTTTCCANCACGTAATTATAAAATGGAAAAACAACGAATCGAAAGTATCGTGAGCGCGTATTATGATGTATGCATAGACATACGTGGACTAGAGCGATAGAGTAAAGATAAAGGGAAGAGCAAAGACGAGCGCTTAAAAAGAAGGATAGGCAGGGTCAGACGCTCAGATGTGTGACGATTCTCGAACGAATAGGTGTGTACGTGTGCTGATATTTGTAATTATAAATACATGTGACTATTATTATTTTTTTTATTTTGTGAATGTTATAAGTTATAAATGAATATAAACAAACAACACTAACCCGATAACATTAAATCTAAATACCAAAACGATTAATTTACTGTGTTTGTTATTTCTTACACTTGTTTTTAAGTATTCGGTATTCGGCCGAATAGTGAAAAATAGGCCGAATACCGAATAGTAACCGAATATTCGTTACATCCCTACTTTTTAGCAAGACTATTATGGGTTCGGCCAGATCGACAATAGAATGCCAGATGGTAAGGGCCTGACATATCCTGGGGGTTGGACAACCTCCCCAGGATCGAATCCGGACGGATCGAAAAATCCAGGAATTTTTCGATTCGATCGTAGTTTCCCAGAGCGGTAGGTTACAATTTTAATCGCTCAGCCATCCAGCCGTCCCTGTTGAAAGTCAGTTATCATACAAACCATCTCGTCTATATGATTAGGATGAGTGAACTGGCGATGTCACTTTCTTAGATTAGAAACGATATTTTTTTGCAAAATGACGAAAAAGAAATAATTTATTACTCAAGGAAAACGACATTTCGTGTCTAATCTTCTTATTAAATGAAATTGATTAAAATTGTGACAAGGTTTTATTGAAGTGCTAATATTTTATTGGTTAGTTTGCATGTAAGAATAAATTATTATTTTAGATGCAAAATGGCATTAAAAGTTGAATTTTATGTCATGCAATCGGAATGCAATAATTCTACACAATATCTATCTTCAACTTCGTGATAATATCATCCGTTCTCTTGAAGAGCGAGAGAAATCGCACAAAATTGATATGAAGTAAAATTTAAGATCCGGAAACTGACTTCAAGTTATAGAAACACAATGTGTTGAGTGTAGGTAGTTTAGTCGGGGAAAAAAAATTAAATTTGAGTTAAGGGAGTTCGAATTATCGAGAGTCTACTGTATTTCACAAGTTTTTTTTAATCTTAAAATAATAATAATTTTTAAATTACTTCTAGGTACAGGTGCAGCTAGAGTAGGAAATTTGTTACATATGGCAGGAAATTTGGGTAAAGCCGTTGGAACTCTAGTGACTGTAATGACAGACGACGAAGGAAGTGGATCTGATACAGAACATAAACATTGATCTTATAATATTTGTTATCAATCAATCAAAACATATCCTCTGTTTTCCATTGCTATATTTGTACAAGTCTTTTATGACATCAATTTGCATATCAAGAATCAATCTCTTTAAGATTGACATTACAAAATTTTTTTGGCATATCACTCTCCAAGAATCAACTAGATGAACTAGTTGCAAAAGGACACTGCAGTACAGGGTACTCAGCGTCATAGTTGTTGTCCTTGTCATATCACTTTCTAAAGTGCATTTTGTGAAACAATAAAATCATAGTGATCATAATTAGCAAGTGCCATAAATTTGTTAAATGGAAACAATACTTGGTGTTCCATTGCCAATTTCAGTTGCTCATTTTAATAGTAACTTGTATTCTGTAAATTGGCAAATGGACACAATCATTTCCTATGTGGTCTAATTGTCTTTTTCTACTGAAACAAAGGAGATTGACTCCACTTTTGTTTCCCAGTGTTCTTTTTATATACTCCTTTCCATATCAATATTTCTTGACTTAATAAAAAAATTTTTTGCCCGAGTAGCACAATTTGTATCCTTGCTACTTTGTTGTAATAGAAAAATATTAACATGTCAAGGAGAAATGTTGCTATGGAAATTGCCATTAAAAAATCATACATTGTAAATGTTAACATTAGTATGACATATGGCATAGTATTGTCTTACTTGTTCATACATGCTGCACTCCATTAATGTGTGATGCTTCCAAAGGAATCTATGTTCAGAAAGTATGTTAAGCAATAATAAAGGCAACTTGAGAATGTTTAAGATGTGAAATTATTTATTTTTAGAGTTATTGATTATACTGCATTTCCTTAATTAAACTCCGGTCTTAAAATAGCCCGGATTTAAACATGTCCAAATACTGCAAAGTTTAAGATAACTGTTTAGAGTGAACAGGTAGGAAATATAACTAAACTTCTACTACCTCTTCATACTGTCCAGTCGGACAGCACTTTGTTCCAAGGTTTTCGGGGATATTTTTGGAAATAAAATCATATTGTCGAATATTGCGATCGAGTTCATAAGTCGAGCTTATCAGCCGAAGGGTAATTAGGAAAACTCGAATTGAAGATGCTAATCAAGATCCTGATTCCGACGACACCGAAACGGACACGAATGACCACTGAATCGAATTAACTATGAAAACAGTGATTATTTCAAAATGTTATAGTTGTAAACAATCAGTCAATAAACGGTCCTTATAGTTCCTAAAATGTACACAAGTTATTGCTTTCAATTTTTACCCACGCGTATTTCGTTGTAAAGTAAATCCCGTCCTAAAAATATGTATTCCCAGGATTTCAAGTAAATCCTGGGAAATACATGTTTTAAAGATAAACTCCCAGGAGTTTGATCGAGGAAATACGGTACATAAATTTTTACATAAAATTAAACAATAGTAATGATGAAATATCTACGCTTGAAATATTAATTTTATAACGGGAGGAAAAGATTCAAATTTTATCATGGTTTCACTGTGGTTTTATGACATGGCGAATGATCGTTTCTTGATTTCAGTTTTTCAATGATCTTCACTCAGTTTTAGCCAATCAACATATGTAATTCAAGTTTTCCTCGCTCTTTTTTATTTCTTCCTTTTACGCTGTCTCAAGATTCGTGATTTATCCATTTTTACGTTAAACTATAATAATATATTTGTTACTTTTATCAATATAATTATAGTTTCGTGATTATTACGATTTTTCATAGTTTTGCCCATTCATTCTTCATTAATATGAAGTAATCCATATATAAAATATGCAGTTCGTTTTCATCCCGTTCCATAAAAAACTTAAAATATTCACTGCAATCGACCGTATTTCACGGCATAAAAAGACCCACCCCTATGTAAGCTGGCATATTTAGAGGAAAGTATTTACTGTATATAAGTTATCCCGCGCCTTTGACACTTGGCTCCAATTTTAACTATATTCTGATTAGAAATAAAATTTATTTATCAGGAGTTTAAAGGTGTGCATTTTTCTTTTTAAATTACTTTTATCACTGAAATATTCAACGTGAAGCAAAAGCTAAAGCAAATAAAAATATGTTTAATTACACAATGACATTTTTATCGAAAGAGGATGTTAGGTAGAAGTTACCTGTTGTCTATTGAAGGCGGTTCGAGAATTCATTAGCCTATAAGAGATTATTACCTTCAAATATAAGACCGAGGGCCATTTTTGAGCCTTGATTTTGGTCAAAAGCTATGTCTTATATGTCGTAAAATATGGTACTTATTACCTCGGTACAATTCAAAATCAATGCAAAAACGTCATATTAGCAAGCCAATATCAGAAAATAGAGCCTATATTTTCTAATCGAAAACTTTGAAGTGAGCTTTATAGAGTATAAAGAGTATAAATTTTAAAAAATGTCAACTTTCCACAATGGACACGAATATAACCATAACCTGTTGGAAAAGTAAAATAAAATGAAAACGCGAAAATTCCATTATAGTGCGCAATATACAATTCTCTGTATTCAGGTGAAATTTTCAACACATTGTTTATTTATTTATTTAGTTGCAGTATGAAAATGAATAAAACTCCGCGATAATATACAGTAACGTTTTAATGGCTGTCATTCAGATTAATTATAATACAGTGGTACCGCGTACTTTGAACTCTAAATTCGACAAAAATTTGCTTCGGAATTCGAACTGCGCGCAATGAAAAAATGTGCGCTGGAGGCATAAAACGCAATCTGTTATGAAGCCAAGTCATCTCTCGCTCTCGTGTTACGCTCTTATGTTTTCACATATTTCGCTCTATTTTGGGCGTGTTTGATTATATATATCGTGTTTTATTCGCCGATTTTAAGCAATTTCTCCAAGCCAATTTTCTTCTTCCACTGCTTTTTGGCGCCCCCGTTCGTTTTGTATTCTTTAGTTCAAAATTTCCCCAACGGAATTTCTTAAAACACATTTGACACGTTCGAAGTTTAGCAGCATCTTCCCCATATACATTATGATTTTGTTTTTACTATTTGTACAGCGTTGTATTCTTTCCGTCTAAAAACATTTTGTTTGAATAAAATCAAGTCGAAATTTGAAGTTAAGGTTTAAAATAAGCTTCTAAACAAAGAATACTCACATCAGTAATAACGTATTCAATTTCAAAACTGTTATAATTAAATCAGAAAATCCACGTTAAGTAAGGAGACCTGTTAAAAATACGAAAAAAACTTTATTAAATAAAACGAGAAGTGTGTGAAAACAACGAAGTCTAAGAGGAAAGTTGTGATATGCAAGATTGAGATGAAAAAGGAATTTATCGCGAAGTATGAAAGCTGTACTCGTATGGCGGATCTGGCGGCCATATTTAATATGCCAACATCGATGGGTTGCGACCATTAAATGTAATTTTCGTTTTATTGAACAGTATTTACATATTTTATTTTGTTATTGTTTTCAATTATTATTAGGGCATTTAATTGCGTTATTGTTACCTTAAATTATGTGTATTTGCTGTTTTAAGTTTATAGAATGGGTAATGTTTACGGTCTGGAAAGGAATTAATTCTATAGGAAAAACTAATTCGGAATTCGAACAGTTTCCTACAGTGAATTCAGTTCGAAGTAGGAGGCATCACTGTTTCAAATAAATTACCTTCGATGATATATCGGTGCACAAATATGCAATATACAATCAAGGAGATATAGATCTGTATTCAAAATACAAATATCAAAAGATTTGTTATGCATTTGTAATTGTTTCTTTTATAATTTAGAATTCTAAGACTAAGACAATATATTTAAAAGCTTAGAAAATGTTAGTTTTGATTTTTGAAAAAAAACACTTAAATAAGCAAATTATGCTGTTAAATGTCTGTAAGTGCCAACACACACAATGTCTAGGAATAAATTCAAAAGACAAAATCAATTTTTCTGGAAGCGATTAAATAAACATTGAGTTTTGATTTTAACATTTGTTTTCGTAATTGAAAAATAAAATCCACAGGAATAAGTGAAAAATACCAATATAACTTCGATAAAAACATTTTTCAAGTTTCAGTTTAATTTTAAGGTGCCTTAAATATTTCAGTCATAATAGATTATTGTAATTAGAAAACCGTTTCAAATCCGGAAGAGAAATATATAAAAGGTAACAGACAAACAAAATTTTTCAAAGAAATATAAACTGAAGTGCCTAAAACTTAGACACTTACCTAATAACATATACTGTAGCTCCTCCCTGAACCTTAATAACAGCAGCAACATGACGTAGCATTGATTCTATGAGGTGTTTCAGTTGTATAGCTAGCCCTATTTCAATCCAGATACGTTCAATGACTCTCCATAATTCAGTTGTGTTTGTTCGATAGTTCTGCAAGGCATCGAATAAACGTTTGCACAGTGTCCCAAAGGGATTTTTAGGTTTCAATTCCAGCGACCGAGGCGGCTAATGGAATAGCTAAAAATCTATCAAGTGTTCCTCGAACCATGTTTTGTCACTCGTGCCATGTAGGGAGTAGCATTATCCTGCTGGTATAAACCATCACTGTCAGGGGACACATAACAAGCATGAAGGGATGCAAAACGTCTGCTACAAGATTAGTGTACGCGTCAAAATCAACTGTAGTCTCACTGTTGGTCACTGTTCACGCCAACAGAAAGCACTCCAAACCAGTACAGTCTTCGATAACTTGCACATCACCTTGCTGACACGATGGATCCATGGCTCCAGATGGTTGTGGCCACATACGAACACGACCAGCAGCTCGAAAGAGATAAAAATGAGATTCATATGACTAAACAACACAATACCAGCACATCCACTGTCAAATTTTGGTGTTCTCTGGCCCAGGCGAAGCTCATTGCTGGATGTTTGGCTGTTAGTAATGGTAACCAAGTGGAGCAACGACTACCAAATCCCAAGGAATGCAGTCTATGTTGCACAGTGCGTTGACTTATGGGTTCAGCAGCGCCCGTATTGAAGTCTGATTTGGCGTAGAGTTGCTCTTCGTTGCGTGGTTACTAGCCTGATTAGCCACCGACAGTCACGTTCTTGCATCAGCCGTCGGCGCCTACACTGTGCACGTGCTGCTGGTGTATGCCCTGAATTTAAGTATTCCCAGTAAACCCTTGAAACTGTTACACGGGAAAATCCAAGAGCATTGGTCACCTCGCTGATAGACGGACCCACTTTTCGTTCTCCAACAATCTGTCCACGATCAAACGGAGATAAATCCTTTACACACCCATTGCTCCTATAACATACTTATCGGTTGTGTGAGTTTGGTATCGTACCTATGGCGTCACATGCAATATTCCGGGCTGAAAGCATTTCTCCCGTGTGTAGAAGGTAACAACATTGCATAAACTGCTGTCTCTAATTTTTTGGCACGTCAGTTTATTTTTCTCAAGCATATAACTTATTACATCATAGTAAATTAGAATCATCGAAAGAATCTGTGGATTGTTAATTTGGTCGGGAGACACATTTTACTTTCCCGGCTGTTACGTATACATAATGGAATCCTGTCAAATTTGATCCTTCGAGTGTTTTGCAAATCTCCACATTTTGAGACCTACTGAACCCAAAAAAGCAAAAAAAAAAAAAAAAATCCCCGCGCGCTCGTTGGCGTCTATTTCCTTTATCATCTCCGGATGGGGTAATGATTAAGAAACGAAAATTGATATCAATACCCCTTATATAAAAGATACCATGTCATTAAATTTTGGTGATTAAAGGTCTAGGGGGGTGAGCGATATGACACATGACCCATTCTATCTCGAGAAGGGTCGGATTTAATGATGTTATTAGCATTTACAAATTTTTATAAAATCATCCCACCCTCAAAATTAAGCTTTTTGCCATTTTATAACAATTAAAAATATTAAAAAAAATTTATAACTATCTCATAACAGATGGCGCCACACACAATTTATTTGTTATGATTAATAGTATAAAAGATTTTTAAAATAAAATCGCATAACAGCCGGAAAAGTTACACAACCCGTTGCTAGATTTTTTAAAGTTAATTTAACATTACTCCGTTTAAAACTGAGAAATGTCGTAACACCCCGTCGTAAAGGTAAGCGATAGTCCAAACAAACAAACCTTAAAAATTTTCTGAAGTTTTGATGATATAATTCTATTTCGTTATCAACTTTACTTATAAAATTCGAACTATTTATAAATTTAATTTGAGCAAAAGTAAAATTTCAAAATTAAAAGACAAATCATAATTCTGATAGATTAATAAATTCATAGTTTTTTTCTTTTAATGTTTTTATTTTAAGAAAAATATCTTAACTTGAAATATTTTAATTATAAATTAA